GTCAATGAATGATGTGTATTAATATAGTGATACTCCCGTGTGGGTTCCGGGGCTCCATTGTGGGGAAAACAAGAATAGACCCACTACCTCCCCAAAAGCATGTCGTAAGAGTCGACTAATTGGAGAGCTTCCTTTGAAGTCGGAGTGCATCTGCCAGAGTCAACGAACCAACAGTCTGTATTCAAGAGAATGAGATCTGTAAAACTGATGCACACGCAACACTAAGGTTCTGGAGCAGGACTGCAGTTCAGTAGTAGACGAGCAACCAGAACCTTCCGCCAGAGTGAACAGCTGGTGAACGCGAAGAAGAAGAAGAATATAGTGAAAGATCTATATTTTTTTGACCAATCGCCAACAAATGAATAATGTGTATCAGTATAGTGATAGATCTATATTTTTATTGACCAATCACCAGTAGATGAGTGATGTGTATCAATATAGTGATAAATCTAGATTTTTCTTGACCAATCGCCAGTCCTATGAGTGATGTGTATCAATATAGTGATAGATCTATATTTGTATTGACCAATCGCCGGTCGATGAGTGATGTGTATCAATATAGTGATAGATCTATAATTTTATTGACCAATCGCCAGTCGATGAGTGATGTGTATCAATATAGTGATAGATCTATAATTTTATTGACCAATCGCCAGTCGATGAGTGATGTGTATCAGTATAGTGAAAGATCTATATTTGTATTGACCAATCGCCGGTCGATGAGTGATGTGTATCAATATAGTGATAGATCTATATTTTTATTGACCAATCGCCAGTCGATGAGTGATGTGTATCAATATAGTGATAGATCTATATTTTTATTGACCAACCGCCAGTTGATGAGTGATGTGTATCAGTATAGTGATAGATCTACATTTTTATTGACCAATCGCCAGTCGATGAGTGATGTGTATCAGTATAGTGAAAGATCTATATTTGTATTGACCAATCACCAGTCGTTGAGTGATGTGGTCTACACCGCTGATTTTTAAACTTCTTTTTTCCACCATTGCCCGACAAAAAGAGGAGAAATTGTCTGGCATCTACCAAACGCAGAAACAATCAGAGATACAGATGACATTTATTCGTTAAATCTAATATCACCAAATTTTCGGCCAAGGCGACATCTGCTGCTAATAGTTTAGAGAACATGATATACGTGGCTAAAGCGTTGTTTCTGACAGATGAAGCTCAGAGCCTTGTACCCCCGCCACACACGAAATAGAGCGGTGCTCTTCCCCCTTCCCCCCCCCTCCCCCCTATAATTTTGTAAGAGGCTTAGATACAACCTTTAACTATTATATAAAGAAAGTATCTTTTAAAGTATTTGTTCACATATTTCTGGTTAGTTCGACGTTAGTCTCCCCAAATAGAGTAGGTCACTTTTCATTCACAAGTTTGCTGAGCTGGTCGACTTTCCTGAAATTTACGGGTGTGTCCCGCTCTGTTGTTTTGTTTCTGCGATGTCTTGCATATGCGTTTTCATTCCGAGAAAGACAATGCCTGTGACATCGATTGCAGCCCTATCTGGGGGGGGGGGGGGGGGTTGTGTTAGACCCAGTTTTTTTCCATGTTTTTAGAGTGTTAAAAGCGCTGGCGCGCTGAAATAAACAACACGCGATATCAACGGCATTGCGAAACAACCCCGTAACAGTGTGCGGCGGTTATTGAGCTCAGGAACTACCAATCAGAATTGAGCTAGCGTGGTCTGGGGAGACTAACGTCGAATTACCCATATTTCCTATCACTCAAACTATAGTATGATTTTTATTTGCTTTTTAATGCACTATTATTATTTTATTATGATTATTTTTTTTTTTTTTTTGTGGGGTCCCGTTTTCAAGGCATTATGGTCACCCTAAAGAAAGTCTCTTGGTATAGTCAGAATATTATTGGGATTTTTGGGGGGGGGAGGTGTGGGTGGCACTGAAGAGACCTGAACCCACAGCTTCCGGTGCCTATGGTCACCGATCACTTTGTCCCTGCGGAATGGGTTCGCGACTTGAAGCAGGCTGGGAACCGCTGCATTACGTATAGTATTTTATAATGTTGGTCAAAGGGATATAACCCGCACTAAAATTGCAAAAAGATGTTTAAATTTGTGATTAATTCCCCTGAGATGTAATATTATTACATCGACGCTCGTGTTTAAAATAAATAACTACATTTCTTCTATTTACTTCTTTCTATGAGTGCCGATCAATACACTTTCTGTGACTTGATTAATTCAGAGTTTTTAAAATAGCAGTTTGCTCCGAAGTGTTCTGGTTTACAGCTACGGTGCGATATCTCCGCCTTTAGCCTAACATGTCCGACTGAGGAAAACTTCCAATTTACATTTCATGTATATGCGTGTTAGGGAGAAGATGACATATTTTCCGCCCGTGAAAGAAACTAAATCCGCCTCAATATGGGACGCAATTTTTTTTTAACCATTGAAGTCATCTCCTTGTGAGGTGCAATTTTTCGTTATTTTGAAGCCCCACCCTGGCTCTTGCCA